AATTTAGACTGAAAAAAGGTAATTTTGGAGCAGTAGTTGAAAAATAGTTAGGTTTTTCCAACGGTCCTGACGGTGGTCGGCCGACCACCGTTGGAAATGTATACAAAAATACAATTTTCTTGAAAATGATTTCACACCTGGTGCCATAATTTAACAGGATGCTTTAGACTGTCATTTACCAACATCCCAGTAAGCTATTTTGTAAAAACTTGGTAGTTTTATTTTTCGATGTTTGCAAATGTTGTATATTCCCTTTAAGGGGAGTACAAGTCATAATGTGCGGGTTACAAACACGGTCGTTTATGGTTTAATTAAGTGTTGTCTTCAAAGGAGTCACATACTCACGTTGTAAACGCACACCAGGTTGATTGCATTACTGCTTGTAGTCGATCATTTATGGATACCAGGCTGGTTAGAGACAAGTCGTAGTGTAGTAGGGCATATGACTAGTGAAGGGATTATACTTCTTTTGCTACTGAATGGTGATTAATTGGCAAACCAGCCGATTGGCGACAAAACATGGTAGTTGATCATGCGGAAATGGTATTACTCACAAGAGGTGTAACACATAATTGCATTTGCAGTCGATCGTGACTTAGTGGTAAACCAGGTTCAAGTTGTAGTCAATCCCGACTTATTGGGTAAACCCAGGCTTGTTACGCCATCAATCGAGCAGGTATTACGGTTACACTTGCTGTCGATCATTTGACTGATTAATGAATTATTCGGAACAGTCGTTCAGGATTTGATGGCAAACCAAATTATAACAAAATTGTATTCGAAGTCAATCAGGAGGCATTGCTGAACCAGGTTGATTAAAAACAAGTGGTACGTTGCCGTTCAGGCATTAGGGGTATTGGTTGTTATACAATATTCGGTATCTGCTCATGTCGTAATTGTGAAGTGGACAAGGAATTTCATAAAACACAACCCGATCAACTCCTGGCTATAATCACATATCATGCGGTTGAGCGCCTTCGATGACTTATCAGTATAGTTGTTTTTTTCCCGGATTTACGATTGTATAGGCGTTCTGGTTCTGGCGTGAACTGCACTTCACGTTGGCTTGCGCCACTGAGTGGACACCCATTTAAATTAGACATAAAAAGGGTCATAGGAAAAGTAACCTCGTAATGCAGTCGGTAAATGGGAATCCAATCTTCAGGTTGGCATGAGATAGCAAGCTTGGGGCCAAAAATAGGTTCTCATTTTTCTCAACGAGTTTTGAGTTTTCGTAGCCGGCGACGATATCTCGATTGGCTACCCGAGAGTTACGTGAGCGGGAAGAGAAAGGCTGGAAAACTGATGTGGATATTCAATGATGCGAAGGTTTAATTAATCCCAGACACGTGACATTGTCAAGTTGGCAAATTAGATAAAGCAAAGTTTGTGTTAATAATTATCCACAGTAGGCTGTAACATATAAGGACCCGTGGTGCGAAATCAGACACCAGCACGATCCAAATTATTGGGTAATGTGTATATTATTAATTTACTAGATTTTGGGTTTATCCAAGGATTTAGTGGAGAACGGTATTTAGTTGATCACATGTCTTAAGGTTTTCGTATAGCCTCCAGTAAATTACCAGTCGGCCACAACTGGTTCACCAGGCCACAAAAAAAAAAAAAAAAAAAATAAAAAAATAATAATGGAGGTATGGGTGTTTGGATGGTTTGAGCCCAGGGAGAGAGAGGTGAGATGGTCCATTTGTCAAATTTTGAGTGGTAGGCCAAGGGTCAGCACAAACGGACGAGCCACTATCGCAGGGGGTGCTGGCTCACGTCCATTATCCTTGGAATGATGGATCTCAGCCAATCTCCCTCCATGGGCTCTTGTGCTGCGGATAAGTGATTTATCCGCAGCGTTTATCAGCTTGCGAAAAGCGATGGCGCTTCTAAGTGTGAGAAGCGATTGCGCTTATTTTTGCGACAAGCGACTGCGCTTCTAAATGTAGGGACATCTATAGTCCCCTGGGACTTGTGAGAAGCGATTGCGTTTCTAACTGCATGTACGGATATCCGTAGTCCATTGGGACTTTTGGAGAAGCGATTGCGCTTCTAACTGGACGGATATCCGTAGTCCATTGGGACTTGTGAGAAGTGATTGCGCTTCTAAATTAGTGTAGGGATAGCCGTATAGTCCCTTGGGACTTGGGTGAAGCAATTGCGCTTCTAGGTGTAGGGATAGCCGTAGTATTGGAATGTTATAACCGTTAGCATGTAAGTGGTAACTATGGGAATTTATTTAGCCATGCTGGTAGTTACATGGACCTGTCTTTTATTAGAACTGGTAGCAGGTAAATTGTACATGTGATTGTTAAACCATGCTTGTTGGACTGTTTCAAGCGAATAAATGGTTGCCGAGTGACCACAGTGCTTTTCTCCGGTGTGATTCTCTTCACAACACGGCTTGCGCTCTCATCGAGCGCAGGCCCCTTTGTGAAAGGTCACACCGCGGTCACACATTGAGTGTAGAGTGGGCGAAGTAACTTGAGTGCGCGCTGGGAGTCAGCTAGTGGATGTCTGGTCTGCATCGGTTGTCAGGCGGCCTGAGGAGTTCATTGCTCAAGTTGCCAGAGCGCGCGCAATGCCAGAGCACTGGCACAAAGACCGCTCAGTTTCGGTTTGGTTTTCGCTTGATACAGTCAATGGCCCTCCTCCCACCCCGATCTCCTAATGCAGGGTTGTTGCTTTGAAACAATGGACCCTCTGTAATCTCAGATAGGTATTGAAAGGAATTTTTTACCGAGTTTAAATGATATTTTTGAATTCAATGGGAACGTGTACAGTATGTTTTGGATGACGGGGAAAGGGTTCGGTTCGGTATGAGTAGCGGGCCGGATGGTTTGAGCCCAGGGAGAGAGAGGTGAGATGGTCCATTTGTCAAATTTCGAGTGGTAGGCCAAGGGTCAGCACAAACGGACGAGCCACTATCGCAGGGGGTGCTGGCTCACGTCCATTATCCTTGGAATGATGGATCTCAGCCAATCTCCCTCCATGGGCTCTTGTGCTGCGGATAAGTGATTTATCCGCAGCGTTTATCAGCTTGCGAAAAGCGATGGCGCTTCTAAGTGTGAGAAGCGATTGCGCTTATTTTTGCGACAAGCGACTGCGCTTCTAAATGTAGGGACATCTATAGTCCCCTGGGACTTGTGAGAAGCGATTGCGTTTCTAACTGCATGTACGGATATCCGTAGTCCATTGGGACTTTTGGAGAAGCGATTGCGCTTCTAACTGGACGGATATCCGTAGTCCATTGGGACTTGTGAGAAGTGATTGCGCTTCTAAATTAGTGTAGGGATAGCCGTATAGTCCCTTGGGACTTGGGTGAAGCAATTGCGCTTCTAGGTGTAGGGATAGCCGTAGTATTGGAATGTTATAACCGTTAGCATGTAAGTGGTAACTATGGGAATTTATTTAGCCATGCTGGTAGTTACATGGACCTGTCTTTTATTAGAACTGGTAGCAGGTAAATTGTACATGTGATTGTTAAACCATGCTTGTTGGACTGTTTCAAGCGAATAAATGGTTGCCGAGTGACCACAGTGCTTCTCTCCGGTGTGATTCTCTTCACAAGCGCTGTTACGTAGCTTTTTTTTAACTAGGAGAAATTTCGAGTTATTATTATCATTACCAAAAAAATGGTACACTAGTGAGACATTCCCGTAGAGTTGTGCACAAACAACTTAACCCTTCCATAACCCACATTCTAAAAAACTTTCCTCAACAAAATTGTTCCATTATACTATTCTCGACCTGAGGAATCGTTTTATGTGACTTTGGACATTAAACTTCCTTCGACTAACTACCAAATGAATAATTTTAACAATTTGCTGAACAAGAATGAATTTAAATTAGACAATATCACTTTGACAAAACCAAATAAGATGATGAACGTTACCAAAAATCTAATAATATTTTTTATTTAATTGTGACAAGTTTCGCAAATCAGGATTTATCCATTAAGTATTAAAAATTAAGTCCCAATTTTATCATTCAACCTTCAGTTATTAAAAGCTCGCCGTTACCAGAAGTTTAGTTTTGGGAAATAAAACTTTATTTCCAGGAGAAAACATTCATGGTGAAAGTATTTTAGGCGTCCAAACGCACCAAACTTGAGATATGCAAATCAATTTGTATTTTACACCTAAAGTCATTAACACCATAAATGTAAAGCTCTTTCGTGCCAAAAAAAGACGATTATTGTCAAAATTCTCTAGACAACTAGATCACAATTACAACTACAAATTCGTTACAAGTACAACTTCTATATACAGATGCTACTTTTTTCTTTGCTAAAACATCAAAAGTTAATTCGTGTGATCTTGAATAATTTATTTAGCCGATGTCACAGACGACATTTTGAGGTGCATATATTTTGAGGAATGAATGTTAATTAAACAATAATATCACTTCAACAAAGCCAAGTGCCAGATGATCACATCACGGTAATTATTGCAATAGACGGTTCTGCTTTATATTAACGCGGGCATATTCCATCATTTTGAAATAAATTGTTTGAATTGACTCTCTTAATGGGGAGCAAAATAAGTTTGACTGTTACAGCAAAAATTGTGTCAACTTTCGTAAATCATGATCGTATCTTTTACCATTGTTCAAATGTAAATTCCATTGTTATCATTCACCCTTAAGTTAGCGTACTTTAAAAGCAGGTTGTTACCAGAAGTTTATTTTTGCGAAAAAACAACAACCTTACTTTCCAGGAAAAAGCATTCACACTGAAAGCATTTCATAGGCGTCCATACCATGCGCACCAAACTTGAGATATCCACAAATCGATTTGTATCATTAACACCGTATAAACATACATTTCATGCCAATTATATATACGATTATTGTCAGAATTCTCCTGACAGCTAAATCACAATTACAACTACAAATTCGTTACAAGTAAGACTTCGGTATGATTTTTGTTCTCGTTCATTTCTCTTGAATAATTTAATATTTAGCCGTTGTCACAGATGGTATTTTGAGGGGTATATAATTTGAAGGGCAATATCTCTTTATTCATATTTCACGTATTTTCATGCTGCATTTTTTCAAGGAGTACTCAGTAGTATATTTCCAACGATACCAATAAATTCCCCAGTCATTACCAGGTATCTGCTCTGGGTAATATATACCATTCAAGTGACAGGACATACACGCATTAAACCACCAGGCTCCTTTGTGGATATCTGCACAATTCCTTTCCCAGATATCATTGTCCTTGTCTTTTGTTGAAAAGGGCAAACCCTTGCTGATCCGCATAGAGTCACCAGCGGTGCTGCTTATATCGTAAAAGTCATAATTCAGACGATACTCACCAGGAGATAGTTTGAAATCGGTGTACTTTGCCCAAACTGTGTTGTCCTCCCAGTCCCCTAAATCAACTCGTAGCTCCCATGTTCCTTGTGAATTATCAGACGTCAGAGTCACCAAGTTGTCGTTGCCCAACCAGAACTCACCGGACATATTGCCAAAGCCAGATTGGTACTCGTCCCAGTTACGCCAGAAGTCCACGCTGCCATCTTGTCGCCTCTGAAACACGATCCATCCCCCGCCGTCAGTTTCCATGTCACAGTAGACGCGAAGACCGCCATTGCCGAATCCCTCTGGGTAGATTGTGTAGATACCGCTTGAACGATAACCGGCATCTAAGAGCCTTTTGCAACTTTGGTAGTAACTAAAGGAGTGATCAGCCAGCGAGTAGAGAGGTGTGTCCTCATCTGCATCAAAGTACACACTCCCTTGAGTTGCATTGAAGTCTTCGGGATGCTCTCGTCTTGTGGCAAGGTTCAACTCGCACTTTTCGCTGCAGTCGTTGTAGTTGAACGACTTGCAGCGGTCATCCATGCTGCATTCTCGTCCGCAGATGACGGGAGATCGCACAGATTTGTCCACATAGACGAAGCGTTCCAGGGCGCGATTTTCCGCGTTATAAAATGCATATTGCTGTGCTGCAAAGGAGTTACATCGAAGCCCAGCAATGACAGCTGTCAGAAATGTTAGAAATAAAATAGGGAACAGTTTTATACCGAAGTTTAGTGCTGCCATTAGATCTCCGTCATCTGAAAGCTTTACAGTCTTCTTAATTTGGTCGAATTGTGATGATCTAGTTGGAAAGTCTAGCGCGTAAATGAGCCAGCATTATTAAGTCATGTCAAAAATGTATTTTAGGGACACTGACTATCATATTATAGCTGCGATCTTGAGCCAAAGATGTAATATGATCTGGAAGCCGCTCAACATCAGCAAAACATCGGATCCCCAGGAAGTCCATTCGTATAATTTTGATGCGTGGTGCTAACCAGGCTTCCTCTTAACACGTGGTGGAATGTGGGCATATTGCTTCCGTAAAACTCCATATATTATATCATTCGCCTGATCGTGACCAGCAAATTCTCAGTGCTTATATTGTGGCCCGATTATGCATGTTCACGCATGCATAATTATGACGTGTAATTCGCTGATTTGGTATTTGAGCAGCGTTCTTCCTGTCTCGCCTTCTGATTGGATGAGGTCGATCCAAGTAGACGCACCACAAGCATACGCCTTTCTACCTGCATTAAATTGACACCAGACACGCTGTCATCCTTGGCAATTTTGTGTTGTTGCCGGGAAAACGAGAAAATGACAAACAGATACAGATGCTTAATGGCCGCATGAATTTTTAAAAGCATGGAATCGCTCATCTGTTCAAGGATGCTACTGGGGCAGGTCGAAAGGCGAGTTCTCTCTCGGCTTTTATGTTTGCGGCTGGGGGAGAATGTAGAGGGGAAATAAAACATATCTAGCATCAAGTACGTCATAAATCAATACATTGCAGACAATAAAAGTAGGGGGAAATGAAATCCATATAGTTTTTGGTACCAGGGTTTGCCCTTCAGAAGATAATACGTCGTAAATGAAGGGTAAAACTAGACATTTCAAAATTAACAACGCCCGTTATGCCAAGGCAAGAGTCACGCTAGGTCATGGTTTGTTTTCAAGAAGCCTGCCGCGTCTTCGGTGTACGTAAAATGCTCGCCGTTACCAGAAGTTTAGTTTTGGGAAATAAAACTTAATTTCCAGGAGAAAACATTCCCAGTAAAAGCATTTCAGGCGTCCAAACGCACCAAACTTGAGACATGCAAAACACTTTGTATTTATCCTAAAGTCATTAACACCATCGACGTAAATATCTTTCATGCCAAAAAAATACGATTATTGATCACAATTACAACTACAAATTCGTTACAAGTACAACTTCTATATACAGATGCTACTTTTTTTTCTTAACCAAACCATCAACAATCAATTCGTGTTATCTTGAATACTTTATTCAGCCGGTTTCATATTCGACGGGTTTATGTTTTGAAGGATTATATTTTGTTAATTCATATTTCGCGTATTTTCATGCTGCAAATTTTCAAGGAGTAATCAGTAGTATGTTTCCGATGAAACCAATAAATGCCCCAGTCAATACCCGGTATCTGCTCTGGGTAATAGATACCATTCAAGTGACAGGCCATACACTTCGCAAATCACCGGGCTGCTTTGTGGATATCTGCACAATTCCTGTCATAATTATACATCATTGTCCTTATCCTTTGTAGTGAAGGGCAAACCCTTTATAATAACGAGGAATTTTATCCTTTAAAAAAAATAATTTCAATTGACTCTCTTGATGGTGAGCAAATCAGTTCAAGACTGTTACCACAAATCAAATAATATTTTTACTAATATTTTAACTAATATTTTTACAAAAAAAGGTTCGCAAATCATGCTGGTAAGGTTTCACCAGTGTTCATAATGAAGTCCCAATTTTATCATTAAGCCTTGACGTGCATAAAAGTACAGCGTTACCAAAGGTTTACTTTCGCGAAAAACTTGAGTAAATTTCTGGGAAAAGCATTCACATTGTAAGCATTTTAGGCGTCTAAACGCACCAAACTTGAGATTGGCAAAACCAGTTTGCATCTTGCACCTATATCCATCAATACCATTAACGTAAATCGTTTCCACGCGAAAATACAGAGCCCTATTAGTAGCCACATTATGATCAGCTAGACATCACAATTATAAGAAGTACATGTATATATACAAAGTCATAAAACGTGCAACTTAAAGTTCCATAAAGTTCAGCCAGTAAACGTAACCAGATTTTCACATTGCAGTGAGCGAATAGATGCAGTAGATGCATAATACAGCATTGAAAGTTCACCCCTGATGGCGCGCTTTCCAACCCCTCGAATAGGAACATTCTACGTGCAAAATTCTAAACAAATTCCAACTACTTGTTGGTACATTGATTTCTTAGGAAAATTATCCTCGAAAAGGGCATTTTTAAAATTGTAACTAGTATCTGAATTTATGGAAACTGAAGACTTGGCGGACGCGAAAGAGAAATATCTTAAAAATAAAAATTGACCTCTCACTTCCGAAAATCTAAAATACATGTAGACTAGTGGAACTCGGTGTACTCGAACAAAGACGAAAATTTATTAAATAATTTTGTGGTGGTCATTGGATGAAAACTGAAACTGAATTTGGAGTCTAAAATGTCTTTTAGTATATACATTTACTTTTTTAGAAATACATTTGAAGGATTTATTAGCATTCACAAACAAAATCTTAAGTGACCGCTGATAAGAACTGCATTCGAGCCAGCCCGACTAAATCTAGAACCCATCGGCTGCAGGGAAGGTAAATCTTTTTGTTGTTATACATTTTCGTTCTCACGCTGCGATGTCATAACAAACGTGAACGAACAAGGAGACCTGAGAACGAAAATGGCGGATGTGAATTAAGGTTGTAAGTAAAATTCTTTTTTACCCATCTCCAACTTTCCTTTTTTTAAACTTTTTTTCTTGAGGAATACCAAAATAAAATTTCAACATGAATGTTTCTTTTGGAAATGGCGGTTGGAAATAACTCTGTCAAAAAAAAAAAAGCAGTGAAAGGGTAACCCAGTGTGAAATGCCTATAAGTGGGCTGCGCAAGGGGTCCGGGAGCTCGCCATGTGACCTTTTACTTTCAGGCTCTATTGTACTTTAAAGGGCCCATGAAATGTAATTTTATTTAAATGCAATCCTGGAAACTGCACCTTTGTGTCCCCTTGACCTTATTTTCAATTTTCATTTTGCCATTTTCAAGGGTATTTTGGTGCCTTTTTGTTTTTATGCTAATGCGGATTACCATATTCATGAGCAAAAGTGTGATGTCGTATCAGGCAGAAACCTCAATGTTGCAATAATAGTTTGTGCACAAAAAGTTGCCAAATTTGTGGATATTTCGCTGTCGTAAACTTTCTTTTAATTAGTGATTCGATGTTATGTCAGTTCATGGCAGTAAGCCAATGAGCAAACTTTTCTCACAAATGTTTTCAATGAGCATTTTCTTGGGTTCACTATTTTTAACAGAAAAACACCTAATATGAACAGTGTCTCCCTGAAATGACATCACGTTATCAGCGCCCTCAGCTGTCCGGAAAAGCATGGATACTTTTAAATGTTTAAAGAAGTGCACTTTTCAACAAAAATTAACCAAAAAGGAATCTCAATTAGTTTTCATACACTGAAGCGGATTAGTTTTTACATTTTCGATAATAGCTTGTGTAGGCCTAAAGTTGTTTCTAATTAGTGTTGAACTGCAAACCATTATGTACCAAATAACAAAAACAGGCTATCAGCCGAAACTCTAAACGTAAACCTGTATCATGACGGATTTCAAATGAGTTCCACGTTTCTTTTTGATTGCGGGACACAAACTTGCTGAGCAGTATTTCCTGCTGAGCTACTCAGTGCACGAAAACAAACCGGCAGTGTTTGTAAATGCTACATCAGAATTCGACATATTTAAATTAAGCCATCAGATAAAAATAATGTACACAAAGATTATCATTAAAAAGGTACAATGTAACGGAACCGTAAATGCGTATTTTTTGTCATGAAAAAAAAAGAAGAAGATGAAATAAGATGGACTCATGTACTTCGCAGGTATACGTTGGAGCAAAGTGCAGTGCGGAAATTCGGTTATAACATTTTTGTTGTAATTAGAAAAAAAATATTCAACGTTTATCAGTGCATAATGTCGAAAATAAGTCACTTTGAGACTATTGGTGGCAGCACACATGTTTGTGGTCGCCTGCGGTTTCCGATTATTCAGTGTCGCATTATGTCCGACGAGGAATATGAAACTGTACAACTCAAGCGATTCATTGACATAGTTCTTGTACTGATGATGTTATGACAAAAGAGACATCAAAGAACGCTTCTTAAACAATGAACTTAAACATCAGTTATGAAAAACGTGTTGTTTTGTTGTGCTGAACTATTTCTTTCAAATCTATTTTCATTCCCTTTCAAACCAGAATACACAATTCCCTTTTCTTCTTCTTTTTAAAAAACCCAATAATATCTTTTTCAAAAAAAGTTATAAGCCTAGATTTAGCCGTAAGTGATTAGATCCTTGAGGTTTCATTTAATTTTTTTTAAACGTGACCTTTTGTATCGTCACTATTATCACAAACAGCCACATAATCGATTTTGATTTTTTTCACTTTTTCACTCTAAAACAATGTACTTTACCATTTTGACATGTTTCTGTAAGCATTACATCATTCATTTCCAAATAACATTTATGATGCAAGGGGCAGATATCTCAAAAACTGAGTTTTGCGTTTCCACGAAGAGCAACATATCTTTAATAATTAATTTTCACTAATTAACTAATTAATACAGGAGTATTAATTCTAATTACTGGGTTCACGTAAAAATTTAGCTCTCATAGAACCATGTGAAGGTTTTTTTACTGCACAAAGTTGTTGCAAAGTAGTATTTCTTGCAGTTTTAAAATATGAGAAACGTCTTTTGCGATTATCTCCAAAACACTTTTCTTCAAAATTATCATAATAGTCTGTGGCTGTTCGTAAAAATGGTGACGATTATAAAAGCCACGATTGAAACCTGGCAACTTGGTGACAAAAGCTCGCTCGTTACAAGGACGGCGGGTA